CTCAGTACTGGCTGTCAGTGTCCATCAGTGCTGGCTATCAGTACCCATTAGTGTTGGCAATCAGTGCTTCCTCAGTGCTGGCTATCAGTATCCATCAGTGCTGGCTATCAGTATCCATCAGTGCTGGCTATCAGTACCCATCAGTGCTGGCTATCAGTACCCATCAGTGCTGGCTATCAGTGCCTCCTCAGTGCTGGCTGTCAGTGCCCATCAGTGTTGGCTATAAGTGCCTATCAGTTCTGGCTGTCAGTGCCCATCAGTGTCACCTATCAATGGCTATCAGTGCCCATCAGTGCTGCATACTGGTGCAGCCTCTTCAGTGCAGCCTCATCAGTGAAGGAGAAAAATCACTTATTTACAAAATTTTATAACAGAAACTAAGAAAACTTTTTTTTTTTTCAAAATTTTTTGGTCTTTTTTGCATTTGTTTAGCAAAAAATAGAAACCCTCAGTGGTGATTAAATACCACCAAAAGGAAAATCTATTTGTCTCAAAAAAAAGATAAAAAAATTGGTTTGAGTAGAGTGTTGCATGACCGCGCAATCGTCATTCAAAGCACGACAGCGTTAAAGCTGAAAATTGGCCTGGACAGTAAGGGGGTGAAATAGTTCAGTCATTGTGCTGGGAGTGAGCAGTGGGGGGCGCTCTCAGCACAGAAAGCACTGCCATCCATGAACGCATATGTGCAGCATGTGGCCAATAAAGCCCGCCCTCTCTGACGCCCCGCATGCGTTGCGTGGGACTAATGACAGAATGATGATGATGGCATGGAGGAGTTTACCTTTTGCTCTGACTGGCTGTGTCTTCTTCTGGATGGTTGAGGAGGAATCGGAGGAGCCCGAAGCCGCAGGACGCCTCCTGTCTGCTTCCATCTCTCTTTCTGGACACGGCGATCACTTCCGCCACAATGACAACATTAGGATCGTTCAGCGCCGTGTGCAAGTAAATGGTCTGGAGACAAAGAGAAGACACAACGCTTCATAGACTGAGATGGATGGAACTCTGTCAGAGGCACATACAAAAAAAAGTCAGAAAACGTTCCATGCAATTTAAAGGGGGACTCCACTACAACAGGCTGTGTGTTCTGACGTTGTCGGTATTCCAGGAGTAAAGTGTTAGGAAAGGCTAACTATTACCATTCTTAAATTCGTTCCTTACCCCTCCTACCTATCCTGTATGAAATAGATCTGTGTACTCGGGTCACATGACCCCACGGCTCCGCTTTCCCTGTGCAAGCGAACAATCGACGACTGCTGTGAATTCTCGAAGCCATGACATCACCCACCAGCCGTTGATGATAATCGCTCCTCTCCCCTGCAGCCGCCACTCACTGGCACGGGAAGTAAGGCCGGCAATACGTGGGTCGATTTTGGAACGATTTTTCGTTAGAAAATCGGACCTAAGTATAATCGGCTGATTTTCACTCTGTTATTGGGGCCGATTTTCAAGGTTCCTCCCCATTTCGTTTATCGGGCATGCTGGAAAATTCATGAAAAACGACCGATTTTTTGTTTTCCGATTTTCGAAATCATTGGTGGCCCCATCAGATTACAGAATGAACGGTGTTTTTCGATTTTCGATCGTAAAATCGTTCAGAATTCGACCCATGTATGGCCTGCTTATGGGGAAGTCTTAAAGTGGAACTTCACTCTCTCAGTCAGCATGAACCATTTATAATCCTTATCCAGCTATTGTTAGTTAACAGATAGGAACAGGGGCGTATTCACCGCAAGGCAAACAAGGCATTTGCCTAGGGAGGCATTTTTCAGGGGGGCAGCACCCACTCCCCCCGGAAGAAGGGACACGTGCGGAATGGGGACCAAGTAGGATCTGAGAGAGGCTGCGGGCTGCTTGTATATCAAGCCAAACCCTCCTTCCTGGGGAAGCCCGGTGCTGTGAAGGTGAGAGGTGGGTGGTAGTGGGTGTATGGGGAGCGGTTGTAGTGGAGGGCTCCCTTGGCCGGTGAAGAGGGTGTTAGTGGAGGGCTCCCTTGGCCGGGGAACGGGGTGCTAGTGGAGGGGCTCCCTTGGCTGGGGAACGGGGTGCTAGTAGAGGGCTCCCTTGGCCGGTGCAGGGGGTGCTAGTGGAGGGCTCCCTTGGCCGGTGAAGGGGGTGCTAGTGGAGGGCTCCTTTGGCCGGTGAAGGGGGGTGCTAGTGGAGGGCTCCCTTGGCCGGGGAACAGGGTGCTAGTGGAGGGCTCCCTTGGCCGGAGAAGGGGGTGCTAGTGGAGGGCTCCCTTGGCCGGTGAAGGGGGTGCTAGTGGAGGGCTCCCTTGGCCGGTGAAGGGGGTGCTAGTGGAGGGCTCCCTTGGCCGGTGAAGGGGGTGCTAGTGGAGGGCTCCCTTGGCCGGTGAAGGGGGTGTTAGTGGAGGGCTGCCTTGGCCGGTGAAGGGGGTGCTAGTGGAGGGCTTCCTTGGCCGGTGGGGGGGGGTTTGGTGGGTGTTAGTGGAAGGTTCTCTCGGCCAGAGGGGGGCAGTGGGGTGTTGGATGGTGTCAGGCTCTCTCGGCGGGGGGATGGGGTTGTAGATGGAAGGCGTCACATTTTTTGTGTTGCAGCACAAAACCTAAATACACCGCTGGATAGGACGTTATATTATATTTACTTGTTTTATACTTTGTTTTTGTTTTTTTTACATTTCTTCAGAGTCATACATCCCATGAGTCTTCAGGAGGGGAGGAGGGGCTTTCCATTGCCGCTGAAAAGGATTTATTGTTGCTGAGGGGGTCTATTATCATGAACCAAATCCATACAAATGAACTAACACCACAGAGTGATACTTGGCTCTGTATGCTCTAAAAGGAGCAATACTAGGAGGGGGGGAAGAAACAAGGGACAGTGCCCAGAGGTGGGTAGGGGGTGGAGACAACAGATAGTGCTCAGAGGTGGGTAGGGGGCGGAGACAAGGGACAGTGCTCAGAGGTGGGTAGGGGGCGGAGACAAGGGACAGTGCTCAGAGGTGGGTAGGGGCGGAGACAAGGGACAGTGCTCAGAGGTGGGTAGGGGGGGCGGAGACAAGGGACAGTGCTCAGAGGTGGGTAGGGGGCGGAGACAAGGGACAGTGCTCAGAGGTGGGTAGGGGATGGAGAATAGGGACAGTGCTCAGAGGTGGGTAAGGGGTGGAGACAAGAGACAATGCTCAGAGATGGGTATGGGGTGCAGACAAGGGACAGTGCTCAGAGGTGCGTAGGGGGTGGAGACAAGGGACAGTGCTCAGAGGTGCGTAGGGGGTGGAGACAAGGGACAGTGCTCAGAGGTGGGTAGGGAGTGGAGACAAGGGACAGTGCTCAGAGATGGGTAGGGGGTGGAGGCAACGGACAGTGCTCAGAGATGGGTAAGGGGTGGAGGCAATGGACAGTGCTCAGAGGTGGAGACAAGGGACAGTGCTCAGAGGTGGGTAGGGGGTGGAGACAAGGGACAGTGCTCAGAGGTGGAGACAAGGGACAGTGCTCAGAGGTGGGTAAGGGGTGGAGGCAACGGACAGTGCTCAGAGGTGGGTAGGGGGTGCAGACAAGGGACAGTGCTCAGAGGTGGGTAGGGGGTGCAGACAAGGGACAGTGCTCAGAGGTGGGTAGGGGGTGGAGACAAGGGACAGTGCTCAGTGGTGGGTAGGGGGTGGCGACAACGGACAGTGCTGAGTGGTGGGTAGGGGGTGGCGACAACGGACAGTGCTCAGTGGTGGGTAGGGGGTGCAGACAACGGACAGTGCTCAGTGGTGGGTAGGGGGTGGAGACAACGGACAGTGCTCAGTGGTGGAGACAAGGGACAGTGCTCAGAGGTGGGTAGGGGGGGTGGAGACAACGGACAGTGCTCAGAGGTGGGTAGGGGGTGGAGACAACGGACAGTGCTCAGAGGTGGGTAGGGGGTGGAGACAACGGACAGTGCTCAGAGGTGGGTAGGGGGTGGAGGCAACAGCCAGTGCTCAGTGGTGGGTAGGGGGTGGAGACAACGGACAGTGCTCAGAGGTGGGTAGGGGGTGGAGACAACGGACAGTGCTCAGAGGTGGGTAGGGGGTGGAGACAACGGACAGTGCTCAGAGGTGGGTAGGGGGTGGAGACAACGGACAATGCTCAGAGGTGGGTAGGAGATGGAGACAAGGGGTGACTCGGGGTGGGGGGGCAATACCTGCACCTATTCTCTGAGAAAAAAAGCCCCAGTTATTGATATTAATATTTTTAGTCCGTGGAAGTCCAGAAGTCGGGAGTTTTTGGATTGGTGGACGTGTCTCATCCATCACCCACATAACATATGGAGCCCGAAACTCGAACACTTTGGAAAGAACCTCGTATACGGAACGTGGATGGAAATCTCTGAACACCAGGAGAAGATGGAGTTTGGGAGCAGAACATTTTTGATATGGCGGCGGCGTAGACCTGCAAATGTGACGGCGCAGATGATTAGAATGATAGATTGGCCTCTCCGGCATTACGCATTCATTTAGAAAAAGAAAAAACCACGAGCGCATATTACAAATACGTCCTGACATTTAGAAATATGGGACAAGTGACAGGCTAGCAGCCGCATCAATCCCTTCTCATGCCAAAATCATCTCAGCAGACTATTCCTCCGAGCGATTCACCGCCGAGCTAAACAATGGTCAATGTGAGACGTATGGGGGAACATAGGAGCCAAAGACAAGTTTTAAAGAGGACCTGTCACTTCCACCATGCAGTGTTTTCACTACTGATGAAGGGTTTAGTTGTGAAGTGTGATGGTAAACCCAGCTATGTTGTACACACAAAGGCCTGTCTCGGCTATACCGTACGAGCACACCAATACATTGCATTACAATCCTCCCTCCGACCCACCCTTTAGTATTCCACAGGTGTACCGGCTCCTCCCCTTTAGTAATCCACAGGTGTACCGGCTCCTCCCCTTCAGTCTTCCACAGGTGTACCGGCTCCTCCCCTTCAGTCTTCCACAGGTGTACCGGCTCCTCCCCTTCAGTCTTCCACAGGTGTACCGGCTCCTCCCCTTCAGTCTTGCACAGGTGTACCGGCTCCTCCCCTTCAGTCTTGCACAGGTGTACCGGCTCCTCCCCTTCAGTCTTGCACAGGTGTATCGGCTCCTCCCCTCCAGTCTTGCACAGGTGTACCGGCTCCTCCCCTTCAGTCTTGCACAGGTGTACCGGCTCCTCCCCTCCAGTCTTGCACAGGTGTACCGGCTCCTCCCCTTTAGTCTTGCACAGGTGTAGCGGCTCCTCCCCTCCAGTCTTGCACAGGTGTACCGGCTCCTCCCCTTCAGTCTTGCACAGGTGTACCGCCTCCTCCCCTTCAGTCTTGCACAGGTGTACCGGCTCCTCCCCTTCAGTCTTCCACAGGTGTACCAGCTCCTCCCCTTCAGTCTTGCACAGGTGTATGGGCTCCTTCCCTTCAGTCTTGCACAGGTGTACCGGCTCCTCCCCTTCAGTCTTGCACAGGTGTATCGGCTCCTCCCCTCCAGTCTTGCACAGGTGTACCGGCTCCTCCCCTTCAGTCTTGCACAGGTGTACCGGCTTCTCCCCTCCAGTCTTGCATGGGTGTACCGGCTCCTCCCCTTCAGTCTTGCACAGGTGTACCGGCTCCTCCCCTCCAGTCTTGCACAGGTGTACCGGCTCCTCCCCTTCAGTCTTGCACAGATGTATTTGCTCCTCCCCTCCAGTCTTGCACAGGTGTACCGGCTCCTCCCCTTCAGTCTTGCACAGATGTATTTGCTCCTCCCCTTCAGTCTTGCACAGGTGTACCGGCTCCTCCCCTTCAGTCTTGCACAGGTGTACCGGTTCCTTTCCTGGACTGAAATGGCTTCCTCTTATCTCACTGCACACTGTGAGCTATTCACAATGTGCAATGTAAATAAGGTGGTGGTGGGGGCTGCAATGTAAAGGGGGGGGGCCTGCGATGTTAAAGGGGGGGGTGATGTAAAGGGAGGATTCTGATGTGAAGGGGGAAGCAGTGTGTGGTAAAGGGGGAGGATTGCGATGTAAATAAGGTGGTGGTGGGGGGCTGTGATGTAAAGTGAGGGGGGGGACTGTGATGTAAATAGGGGGGGGGGGGGAGTGATGTAAAGGGAGGATCCTGATGTGAAGGGGAGAGCAGTGTGATGTAATGAGGGAGCATGTGCAATTCCCATGTGTGCAAACCGCCGTGTCCCCGAAATACGACCGGCGTGGCTCCGTGTCTGCCTGCAAACCAGTGACATTCAAAGCTTCTATTCCCTCATCTTCATATGACAGTTACCCTCCATGACGGGATAAACAGATTCCTAAATCACTGAAAAGATGCTCGCATGGAGCGCCCTCGTCTGGGGGCCGCACACGCACCATTTAGCACTCGTGAGCCGTTTTTCTTTTGTCATCAGAACCAGCAATATGGAAATGATGCGCAAATCCTGCAGACATTTCGCCTCTTCTCTCAAGAAGGTCATCCAAACTCAGCGCAGGATTCTTCTTTTTTTTTTTTTTACCTAATGGGCGTTCATAAAGAAATAAAACACCGTCAAGCACACGTCAAGCACACGTCAAGCACAAAGCTTCTGTTAGGAGTTGGAGTACAGTCTGCCGAATATTGCAATTCCAACTGCGTTCCTATTGGTGGGAGACCAATAATATTTGAGTAAAACATAAAAGTGTGGCGCTATATATAACCAAAACGTGCAAATACAAGGAATAAATGAAAAGTCCACATGCAAAGGAGATATAACGGGAAATAAGCCCCTATAAGCCCTTCCAGTCCGGACACTTCCCCCCCTTCCAGTCCGGACACTTTCACCCCCTTCCAATCCGGACACTTTCACCCCCTTCCAGTCCGGACACTTTCCCCCCCCCCGACCCCCTCCAGTCCGGACACTTTCCCTCCCTTCCAATCCGGACACTTTCACCCCCTTCCAGTCCGGACACTTTCCCCCCCTTCCAGTCCGGACACTTTCCCCCCCTTCCTGTCCGGACACTTTCACCCCCTTCCAGTCCGGACACTTTCACGCCCCTTCCATCCAGTCCGGACACTTTCATTCCCTTCCAGTCCAGACACTTTCCCCCCTTTCCAGTCCGGACACTTTCACGCCCCTTCCATCCAGTCCATCCGGACACTTTCCCCCCCTTCCAGTCCGGACACTTTCCCCCCCTTCCAGTCCGGACACTTTCCCCCCCTTCCAGTCCGGACACTTTCCCCCCTTCCAGTCCGGACACTTTCCCCCCCCTTCCAGTCCAGACACTTTCACCCCCCTTCCAGTCCGGACACTTTCACCCCCCTTCCAGTCCGGACACTTTCACCCCCCCTTCCAGTCCGGACACTTTCACCCCCCTTCCAGTCCAGACACTTTCACCCCCTTCCAGTCCAGACACTTTCACCCCTTCCAGTCCGGACACTTTCACCCCCTTCCTGTCCGGACACTTTCCCCCTTCCAGTCCGGACACTTTCACCCCCTTCCAGTCCGGACACTTTCATTCCCTTCCAGTCCAGACACTTTCATTCCCTTCCAGTCCGGACACTTTCATTCCCTTCCAGTCCAGACACTTTCATTCCCTTCCAGTCCGGACACTTTCCCCCCCTTCCAGTCCGGACACTTTCCCCCCCTTCCAGTCCGGACACTTTCACCCCCCTTCCAGTCCGGACACTTTCACCCCCCTTCCAGTCCAGACACTTTCACCCCCCTTCCAGTCCGGACACTTTCACCCCCCTTGCAGTCCGGACACTTTCCCCCCCAGGCCAATTTTCAGCTTTCAGCGCTATCACACTTTGAATGACAATTGCACGGTCATGCAACACTGTACCCATATGAATTTTTTAGCATTTGTTTGAAACAGACAAAACTTTATTTTGGTGGCATTAATTCACCACTGGGATTTTTTTTTTTTGCTATATAAAAAAATAGTCAAAATATTTTTAAAAAATTGTTTTTCTTATAAAATTTTGCAAATACATAATCTTTCTTCATAAATCTTGGCCAAAATGCATTCAGCTATCTTTTTAGTATAAAAAAAGATAACCCAAATCAGTTTATAACCAAAAATTTTAATTTTTCAAATTTTCTTTTACATTTTTTTTTTTTTTATATTATTATTTATGTTTTTTTTAACATACTGTCACCCTAGCAGTGCAGTGTCACTATGGTGACACTGTACTAATTGTGGGAAGTGATGAAGATTTTTTTTTTTTATTTACAGATTGCTTTTACACCTATAAAGGCTGTAAAAGCAATACATTCTCCTTCTCTCTGGCTGCATTCCTGCAGCCATTGAGAAATACTGTGATTGGTCACAGCTTGTCACATGGTACAAGGCTGTTGTGAATGGCCCTGTACCATGTGATCTCTGTGATCATTCACAGATTTCATACATAGTAAGCAATGATGTCAGAAGTGACATCTTGCTTACTACTCTTCATGTGATCACTGATTGGCCAATCAGTGATCACATGATCGGGACCTCACACAGATGTCCCGTACGACGAACGGTGTTCCACTGTGTCCGGAGGACACAGCAGGCACCGGATCGCGGTGCTGCGTGCTCCTCAGGAGTGTGCACAAGCAGGGAGCGGGGAGGCCACCCGCCCCTGCACTTCTCCCGTCCGGCCATTTATATACATGGGCCGGATGGGAAGTGGTTACTGGGACATCAATGCTGTCATGAATGCTTCAAATCTGGTCAAGAAGATGAAGAAAATCCACCATCACCAACACCCAAAAAATTCCATTCTTACCAGATAAAATTGACCCCCCCCCCCCCCCATTAAGGTTGGGTCAAAATGCGCAATGCAAAATCCAAACGCATGCCATGGACCTGGACACTTAATGACATCAAAGGATCGAACTGGCCCCCAATGGTAGATGGATAAAACACCCGTGGGATAATTCCAAAAACTGGCTGTGATCCGGACACCTGTAGAGCTCCAAACTTTAACTCCAAAAATTGAACAGAGAAAATAAACATCAAAGTAATTGATAAAACAGCAAACCCATAAAATGGCCGCCACGTTCCGGTACTTCCTGGCGTCATGCGCTCTAGCTCCTCCCTACGGGTTTCGTCATCGGTGACGTAGCATTTGAGTATACAGTGGGAGTTTTATTGTGACATTTGCCTTTAAGTAACATTTGACAAGTTTTCCTTTGTTGTTTGCTGTTCCATATTTTGATCATTATATTTCATGTATGTATTTGTAAAAGCTCCCTCTGGTGAACAGATGCATAACAAGAAATGTGTTAAAGCAGAACTGTATGGATCTGTCGCCACTGGATGTACAGCATACCCACACATCCAAGTGCACCCTCCTGTACAAGGTCTGCACTTCCTTTCGATGCCCCATTGCCATCACTGCTCTCTTTTCCTGGTCTTCTTCTGGGTTGGAAATCTTCCGTATTCAGCCATTGGGTTGCAATGGATGATGTAACTGTGGCCATCAGAGCACCTAATACGATATGCACACCTGCATGTTTACATCCTAGTACATCCTCCTCCAGCGGTGGAAGGCCTGTGTTCACTCTTGACATTCCATTGCCATCACTATAGTCTTTTCCTGGTCTTCTTCTTGGTGGGAAATCTTCTGTAATCAGCCACTGGGTGCCCATGGATGGGGTAACTGTAGACATCAGAGCACATTCCATAATATGCACGGATTACCGACACTTCCTCGTGCCCCCTTTCCAGCAACGCTCCCTTTGCTGTTCCATCGCCATTACTATCATCTTCTCCTGGATGTCTTCTCGGTTGGTAATCTTCTATATTCAGCCACTGGGTGGCCATGAATGGTGCCAACTGTGGCCATGAGAGCACCTAATATAATACACACAGCCCACCTGCACATTTACATCCTAGTACATCCTCTTCCAGCGGTGGAAGGTCTGTGTTCACCCTTGCCATTCTTTTGTCATCACTATAGTCTTTTCCCAGGCTTCTTCTTGGTGAGAAATCTGTAATCAGCCACTGGGTGCCCATGGATGGGGTAACTGTAGACATCAGAGCACACTTCATAATATGCACAGCCTACTGACACATCCCCGTGCCCCCTTCCCAGCAGCGCTCCCCTTGGTTGTTCCATCGCCATTACTACCATCTTCTCCTGGACGTCTTTTCGGTTGGTAATCGTCTATATTCAGCCGTTGGGTGGCCATGAATGGTGCCAACTGTGGCCATCAGAGCACCTAATATAATACACACAGCACACCTGCATATTTACATCCTAGTACATCCTCCTCCAGCGGTGGAAGACCTGTGTTCACCCTTGCCATTCCATTGCCATCACTAGAGTCCTTTCCCCATCTTCTTCTTGGAGGGAAATCTTCTGTAATCAGCCACTGGGTGCCCATGGATGGGGTAACTGTAGACATCAGAGCACATTCCATAATATACATTGATTTTAATATATTATATTCATAGCGCTGCACTTTATTACTATTTTTCTGATTGAGGTTTTTACTGGTTACCTTAGTGTGCAGCAACTTACAGTGCGCTCGCAATTTTTACCTTTTTTTTTGTTTACATTCCATAATATGCACAGCCTACCGACACATCCTCGTGCCCCCTTCCCAGCAGCGCTCCCCTTGGCTGTTCCATCGCCATTACTACCATCTTCTCCTGGACATCTTTTTGGTTGGTAATCGTCTA